GTAAAAAAAAAAAAAAAAAAAAACTTTTTTTCCCTCCCGTCTCTCTTCAATAAATCATTTGCGCGAGCGGGAGTAGTTTTATATCCGGGGGCCCGATCGTTATAGCTGAGAAAAGCGCAGAAAAAAAAGGGGGGGAACGGACGAGCTGCGTGGCCTGGCGATCGACGTGTACGAAAAACAAAAAAAAAGAAGCTGCGCGCGAATCAGCATATCAGATTCGTAAAAGATTGACGAAACTTTTTTTCCTTTTTACTGACCGACACGCAAACTTTTGGCCCGTGCAACCGCGCCCTTTCCGCAGCCTCTCCCCCGCGTGTACTGGGGAATTGCCTTTTTTTTTTTTCTTTTGCGCAGCTTGTTTTCGGGTATTTTTTAATTAAGCGCCGAGCGCGCCTTTGTGCGACTCCCGCGTGAAGGATAAATAATCGCGGGTGGGTTATTATTCCGCATGCGGTAGTGTGTATATGGGTGGAGCCTAGGAAACGGGGACGAAGGGCCCTTTGGCTTTTAATTGATTGTGTGTGTTGCGACAGCGCACGCGTTGTTACGAGACCGTAGTGGGTGAATTGCATTGTAGTTTTTGTTGTTCTTGTGGGTTAAGTTGGAGTAATTGACACCGATATCCGTTGGGTTTTACCATTTTTTTTTTTTTTCCAGAAAGAATCGAACCGGCATTGTCGGTCGACTGCTAGCTCGTTATTACTTCGCGCAACTCGCTGTACTTATGGGCTTTAATTGAAGTGCCGCACGCGGGAATAAAATCCTAGTGATTGTAAAATACGTCACTGTGAACAAAAAAGCTGTAGTGATGGAGAAATTGTATATTTTTACAGTGTGGAAAAACATTTGTTTCAAGATACCGGATAATAGCATCGAAAATATGTTAGGAGTTGATGTATCAAAAATCGGTGGTGGATGGCCATTAAGAGATTTGTGTTAATTGATAGTAGTGGATTTTTTATATTTGTAATAAAAAAAATTTATCTTGTGGAAAAAATGTGTCTTACTAATTTTTGTATTAATTGTACGTAAAAAGTTGAAATCGGCTTGGATGTCACCTTTCTGTGAGCAAAAATTTAACTTTTAAAAGGAATTTATACTTTACAAAATGCATGAAACATCCGTATGGTTTCGTCTCTTGATAATAAAAATTTTTGTTTCACAATACATCAAATTTTTTTCAACAAATTTATGTAGGAACGTTATTTGAAATTTTAACGAAATATAATTCTTTACTTCACGAATTAATAATAAATAAAAAATTCATAGGTATACGTAACTTAGTGTCGAATACGTGGATTAAAAAAATTCGGTTTCTGTCAGTTATTTCAATATTTAATTTTTCAATAACAATAAAATTTCGTGTACTGAATGCATGATTTATTTATAATAAAAAATTTATCATCTAATAAAAAAAAATCAAGCATTCGTGATAATTAAAAGAAAATAATTAAATGAAGAAAAATATTTATATCAACTCGAAGTTCACCTGATTAGATATTGCAAATAACTACTTTTCAATTAATTGGTATTTATTTTTATCTTATTATTCTTTTCTAATTTTACGCTCTGCGTAAGCATAAACATTCCAGTCGTTAAGCAAAAATATTTTATAAATATTAACTACACCCAGTTTTTA